CGTGGTACTTTTTAAAGATGGTTTACACTTTCACGTGGTACTCTCGAAACAATAATTAATTGGCACTAAAGTCCTATATGTGTACTTTCCACTATAAACTATCATTTCCCAAAATTTTTGCACCGTTCCAAATTTGATCGATTTTATTTAGGTTTAATTCTAAAATTTTCGTTTTTTTTTTTTGAATCAATCAAATTAAATGATCACAGATCGTTATCATTTTCCAAATTAGTAGCTCTATGCTAAACATCAGTAGTGAAAGTTGGGGCAAGTTTGCTGTTGGTCTACAGGTTGCTTGACCTCCTTTCTAATGCTGGCTTTGCTAGACTGTTACCTTGCTTTCTTGAGCTAGCTGTTGAAAGGTTAACTCAGCGTCATCCATATACACAGTTAATGTTACAATAGTTTCTTTATCTTCGTTAATTAAGTTTAAAGTGTTCATCTTCCTTAATTAAATTTAAGTCTAATTAAGTTCAGAATACTCTTGGAATCGTTGACTGTAACAAATTGTAGAGAGATTATTGCGAATCATATAAGCCAAGAGAAATTAACTCTCTAGATAAGGATCAAATAACTTGAATCATCCATGCTTGAAAGCAATTGTATGAATCAAACGAAACGATACAACTAGCTTCCTTTAAATGTTCTTTATCAACTTTCTTATCATCACCAGAATACCTAAACTCTGAACTTTCAATGTGATAAAGTAAAATAGGGCTTGATTGGAAAAAATTTGAAATATGATAATAGATGAGATGGTATCTATGCTGTGACACTTAAACTATACAGATATGTGGATCAGTTGTTTGCATGCAAACCGTACAATGTTAATGTAAATATGAAATATGCAATGAGTGTGCGTACAGATAGTGAAGTGCAGGGTATGTGTCAGTGATAAAGTTTGTCTCTTTTCGCTACATTTTGATCTTAGAATCTGATAAGTAGCTGATAGGACAGTTCAAGTAATAGAACATAAGAAATGAAGCAGTATGAAAACGATTGTGATTGATCAAAAGGGATGGTTTAGTATCATTGTAACAATCTCAATATGTTGCCGATTTGTTTATTTCACTAAGTTGATCAAAATATTCTTAATAATTTGCAGTTCATTAATGCGTCATATGTTTAAGTGATTCAAAGCGAGATTGCTCTTACGATCGATACTGTTGAGAACAATCACCGAATAAAATTTTAAATTGTTCGGATCAAAAAATTAAAATAGAAGGAAAAGATGCAACATTTAGAGGAAAAAATTTGTTTAAGAAAAATCGTTAACTCGACATTTGCCAAAACTAAAAAAGATGGAAAAAAATTTTAGGATTTCAAATAACTGTGGGGTATTCATTTTCGAGTCGTTACATATCGGTGTCAACCAGAAAGGTTCATGCCATCATTTCTATGAAATATCGGACAGCAAAGAGAGTAAAGATAAAACAGATTAGAAATTTCAACATTGAAATGAGATTCTAAATTTGCGTTACACATTAATAATAGCAACGAATAAGCCGCGTAGCTTCCGATTCTTCTGATTCTCAGCTTCTGATTTTTTAGCTTCTGTGCCACTTCTCATATTTGTCGAAGAATTTCCGAATTGAGATTCCCCCTTTGTTATACCTAGAATAAAATTTTTTTCTGATGTTGTCTGATACCACCAGAAGAAGTAAATGGTTTGTTACAGTTTGGCCTCTTGAGGCGAATGATATGCATTTTTGTATAGGAATATTTATCGAATTTTGAATTCCACCTCCATATTCGCGAAAGTTTCGCACCACATTTTCATATGCATTCTACTATTGCAGACATAAAAACGTGCTTGAAATTTTGTTAAATTTGAGAACTAACGAGAAGTCCCGGAGCATAGCTTCATATGTCTTTTCAAGTGGTCCCTGTTGCTGAAGGAATTGTTACAGTTTTTCATCGAGGTTCAGTGTTCATGTGTTTTCTTGTGAGAGTAAAATGATGTTTTACTTTCGTACTTTCACCCACGATTGTATTCTTTGCATTCGTAAATAAATGGTTCGCCGTGCGTTTTCTTGTGTTTTGTATATTCCTTGGTATTTTTCGTGCGCAAAGTACATTCAACATAAGGGCACTCATGAATTCCCTTTTCTGAAAAACTCTTGTAGCATCGGTCGATCATGAAGGATCGGATGAACAATTCGATTTTTGATAATTAATTTTAAAAAAATACCAATTCTGCTAATAATCACTGTTGTGATAATATACGGGATAGTATAGAGAATGAAAATAGATTAAAAAACCACTGTTAAAACGAAACTATATAAAATGTCATCTACTGTGATGGTAGCATTGAAGATGCCGTGCAACTTCTGATGTTTATGCACCTTCTCGCACCTTTCGTCTCAAAATATGGCCGAATTACGCATGTGCTGCAGTTAGGTTTAGAATAAAAATTTCCTAAGTTCTGCCTCACTGCGCCAAAAGAAATAAACACTTTGCCGCAGTTTGGCTTCGTTTTCTGCATCGCAATATTTATCGAATTTTGCATTCCACCTCCATATTCGCGAAAGTTTCGCACCACATTTTCATATGCATTCTGCTATTCCAGATAGAAAAACGTGTTCGAAATTTTGCTAAATTTGCGAAACTAACGAGAAGTTCTGGAGCACAGCTCTTTGTGTTTTTTCAAGTTGTAGTTTCGGGCGAAGGATCTGTTACAGTTCTCGCATTTATGTTTAGGTTGATATGTTTCCTTGTGAGAGGAAAACGATGAATGATTGGACGTTCGCCCACAATCGGGTCGTTTGCGTTTGTAAATAAATGGTTCGTCGTGCGTTTTCTTGCGTTTTCTATATCCAGGGCAATTCTCAAAGCTCGCATTATATCCGGCATGAGGACGCTCACGATTTTGTTCCAAAAAAACTCTTATAACACTTGTATTTGTATTTAGCACCCTATTACAGTATTTGCAAATTAATTGATGTAATTTGAAAAATGATCATGTAAGTGCACAAAATAAGCTTATCATATCACATTTCACTTGAATTACTTGAAAATGTTCACTTTCTTGGCATATAATAGAGATAGTTTAGTTTTTTTTTCTTTTTTTTTTTTATGGATTGATATCGCAGAACAGATAACTGCGAATTTTCTGCTGGAACGAAATCAGTTTCGCTCTTCAATTCTTCATTGCTTGTAACCACATTTTTACACGACTAACTGAGCTGTAAGGGTTGGAAGAAAATATCATTATGTAATACTTCACCATTTGTTCCCGGTAATTCTCCACCAGTATTGTGTGTATTAGTGTTTGAATTAAACGCTAAGAAATTGCAGATGAGTCCTGGGAAGAGATCTTTGTCAACGGTTATTCCCAACAGTTCTCGTTCAGTATTTTCCCACTCGATATTATAAGCGAAGCCGTCGGTGTAGCGAATATTGTTCGGGTTCGTTTGAGAGGGTGATGTCGGAGACCACTATTGCCAGCGATATAACGCGAGATGTCGT